AGGGGCGGGAAGCCGGAGTCTGGGAGGGCCTCCCAAGGTTCAGTGACAGGTGCTGTGGGGCCCGGCAGGGCCCGCCTCCAATTGCCCTCTGCAAGCTTCCCCTTCCCCTAGATGTCTTTGCCCACACCTGCCCCACTGCTCCCCAGCAAGCAAGCTCAAGGGGGCACAGTTGGAAACAGCAGCCCTGCTCAAGAGAGCAAGGCAGTATACTTCTTGTATTTTACTTTGGCTAAAGGATCCTCTTGGGCCTGGAAAACCTGGACTACATAAAGAGTGGTCTGGTCTATGAGGTCTGAGGTGGAGGGGGTTCCGAGAACATCCACCCTCTACCAACACAAGCATCCAACCAACCCCCCTAAATATTCCAAGTTTTGGGCCAGTCTTCCTCACCACCAATCCGACCCTATCCCCACCCCCTGCACCAAAAAAGTTTCTCAGGGTGGGAGCTTGCAGGCTAGAATTTCAGAGGAAGTCGTTTTTCCGTCTTCTCTCTGCGGAACACTAAGTCCCTTTACTCCCCCGGCCTCCTCCCCAGAATGATAATAGCTGAACACAAATTACTCCACAGATTGGGCCAACACTTAATTTATAGAGGTCATGCTTATTTAAGAAGCCATCTCCTATTTAGTATCCTCTTCTTTCCCGTCCCTCCCCCAGTCTTCTTCCTTTGCACACTGTAATTATTAAGGACAGTGGAGTTTGGGGCGGTGCAGGCCTGAAGAGTCCTGCCTAGATCTAACATGGAGGGATAGGGACCTGAAACAGTTGGAAACATGCAGTGGGAGCTAACTCTCCAAGTTTAAAGTCCATTTCCGCCCCAATGTGGTTTTCTGGTCTAGGTTTTACCTGTTGGGCTGCGATCTAAAAGGTTAGTAGTTCAGAGCCACTAGCCACTCCATGGGAGAAAGACTGGGCTTTCTACTCCTATGAAGAGTTACAGTCGGGAACTCACCAGGCAGTTCTACTCTGTCCTCTAAGAGTGGCTATGAGTCGGCATTGAGTTTGATTTGATGCGGTTCCCTTTTGAGACAGAGGATAAGCAAGGAGGAGATTTTACAACAAGAAAAGAGAGTATGATGTCTCAGGACCCGGTACTTGGCATTTCCTTGCTACCTTGAAGGTTTTTTCAACCCCCTCAAAGTTCGTCTTAAAGAATTCACACTCTAAAAAAAAAAAGAAAAAGAAAAAAAAAAGAATTCACACTCCCTAAAATAGCTTATATGACTTGCCAGCAGTGACCTCAGCGTCCTTGGTTTTGTGGTTTGCTTCTTGTTGTTGTCATGAGGGGCCATCAAGTCAGTCCCAACTCATAGCGACCTCCTGCATCACAGAACGACACACCACCCGGTCCTGTGCCATCCTCACAACTGTCTCTGTACCTGAGCCCAGGGTTGCAGCCACTGTGCCAATCCATCGCCTCCAGGCCCCTCCTTGTCGCTGCCCCTCTGGCTTACCAGCAGACAGACAGGTGCGGGTGGTGTGCTTGGGCATCAGTAAACCCGATTTTCTTTTCCCCCAATCCCAAGTCCCTTCTTGCCTAGCTGGCAAATTACAGCATGGTGGTCCTTCCCACCAACCCTATCACACCATTTCCCTTTTCGTAAAGCTAATATCGTAGCTGATCTATTTTCCTCAGAGAAATGTTGTGGAGAAAACGTAGTATGTGTACATGAGACTTTAAAAATGTCAGGGAGCCCCAAATATTATCAATTACAGAACCCACATTGTCAATAGCAAAATAGTCAGATGGTAATTCATCCTGAAATAAGTATATAATACATTAGATTTTTTTTTCATGTTGCTTATTAGTCTTATTATTTCTGGGGTAAGGTGTTAGGCTACATGTATCAAGGATAAGAAAGCTCCCATCCGGTTAATTTTGATGGATGTTAATCCCATGTGTGTCAGAATAAAGTATACTCCATAGAATTTCCAGAGCCTGATTTTTCAGAAGGTCATCAGGTCAGTCCCTTGAGGAACATCTAGAAGGACTTGAACTTCCAACCTTTCGGTTAGTAGCCAAGCTTATCAACCATTGCCATTTCACACCATCCAGAGACTCCATACCAAGGATACCCAATGCCATTGAGTTGACTGTAACTCATTGGACAGAGTAGGCCTGCTTCTGTGGGTTTCTAAGACTAAATCTTGATGGGAACTGATGACAACTTTATCTTTGTTACATGGAACAACTGATGGGTTTGAACTGACAACCATGCCCAATGCTCAACTCACTGAGCCACCAGGACTCCTCATACCAAGGGTCAGAACCCTTGGGAAGCGCCAGAAGGCATCTAAAACAACCAAATTAAAGACTAGTAGAACATCCTTTGCACTTCTCATGATAAATTTGCCTGTCTTTTCGAATCGAAAACACTGGCCTGAACTAGATTCTACAATTTCAGATAATCATGAGGATCCTGAGATGGTGACTCATGACTGGGAAACAGATGGGCTCTGGCGCTCCCGGGCCTGACCTCACAAGGAAGGCGAGCTGAGCGGAGTCTGTTTGCGCTATGACAAGTCACAGATCGGTGCGCTGCAGTTTAATTTTACAAGAAGGGAAATTGAAGCTTGGAGAGCTTAAGTGACTTTTTGAAATTCACACAGTAATTCAGGGAAGCGAGCATTCAGGATTGTGACTCCTCTCCAGTGTTTTCTCAAACATATCAACATGGTGTGGCTTCCCTGAGGCTAGAGAAAGGGCCCATTTGCTCTCTGGCCTCAGGAAGAGCGAGGGAATCAGATGGAGGCTTTCTACGGAGCATTTGTTAATTAGCATTGAACATTTGATATCAAGCTGCTGTTTTGTCAAGTCTTCCGACAAGAAAAAAAATCCTTTTCTTTTCATCTTCTCCTGGGAAACACTGTCCGCTTTCTGGCTCTTTATTGAAACTTGCTTTCTGATGCGTAATTTGATCTGCACTCTTCTTTAAGGTAAATTTAGTCCCCCGGTGAAAGGTGACTGGATCAACAGCCACCTGTAAGAGGAACCCTCCGTTTCCCAGCCTTTTGCACTCATTCCCTATCCTGAAAAGGGGAGAAGAATTCTTAGGCAGTCATGAATGAAGCCACAAACACAGGAATAAGCTAAGCTGGTCCTGGTGTCCCTAGATAGCAGATAAGGTGAGGGTAAACGCTCCTGGTCACATGCAAAGTCTGGGGTGGATATAGGATTAAGCCCTATATTGGCAAAGACCTGAAAATGACTAGGACGAAGGGAATTAAGAAGCTTCCCCTGCAAGCCTGGTGTCTCCCACATCCCTGCTTTAGTGGACTTGAGGAGAGATTATTGGGGAGGACAAAGAGAAAAACAGGTGGGTCAGAGTGCAGTGGTCTGTGTGAACAGCGGCCCTCAGACGGTTGCACATTAGAATTGCTGGGAGAACTTTTAAAAATGGTGATTCCCGGGTCACATCCCAGACCATTTAATTAATAATCCCAGAAGGTAGGGTTGGTAGATATTTTAAAGGTGCCCAGATTATTAGCATGTCTAGCCAAGGTGGGGAGCCACCGTGTCAGAGGACCACCTCTCCCACCATCCTTCCATTCTGCTCCTCTCAAAGCTTATCTACCTGCAGTACATCTAGGCAAAACAGGAACAAAGGTTAAGTTCATTTTGTCGTATTAAATTTCCCCCGCTCAGGATCACTCTCTACTTTGCCCACAACCCCACTCTGGACTCTTTCTTTTCCCTGTGGAACAAACAAACAAAACCAAAAACAAACCTGCTGCTAAGTAGAACTGTGTTCCATATCATTTATACCGGACAGTGAAGTTCAGGGACCATATTGCCTTGCCTGGGGCATGTGCACAGAGGCGTATCTATGGAAAACAGGGCTTATGGCAGTGAGTTTCAAATTGCTGACTGAGCTCTCACAGCTGGTGATGAAGACTGTCCGGAAATAGAAACTTCCACTCGGGCTCCCCCTCAAGTGGTACCCACGGCTTGTGCTGTCCCTGCCTTATGCTAGTTACACATGTGCATCTTGAGCCATAGTATTTCTAATTGTGACGTGAAAGGCTGTGTTCTGCATAGACAAGTAGCAGAGTTCAAGCATCGTCCAGCCTTTAAGGAAACAAAGCAGACTAAGCAAACACCAGCCTGAATTTGCTCCACCATCAACATTGGACCTCTGGTAATTGGCAGGTTCTACGATTATGAATTGATTCTGTAACTGCTGTTATAAACTGCTTCTATGGGAGTGTGTCCCATCCCCTCTCTCCAAAAGGCAAACGCATTCTCTTCTGCCACCCACGTCTACCATGCCTCTCGGGTTTGCACCACACAGTAAAGAGACCCAGTGGTTTCCAGGTCTGGCGCTAAGTGAAAACACCTCCAAAGCCAAAAAAAACAAAAAACAAACAAAAAACCCCAAATCTCCGCCATCAAGTTGATTCTGACTCACAGCGACTCTGTTAGCGGTCCTGTTCCAGAACAGGAATATTTGAGATCAGGTATAAACAGATCTTTTCATGGACATTTTTCTGGCAATGAAAGGTTCAGCCCTTCACCTGAAATTCTTAATGTTTTACAAGAAGGAACTGTAGTGTTCTGACCCGCTCCTGGAGCACAGTGTCGGAGGGCTTTGAATTCAACAGACAAGTGATTATGAAACCTATCTTAATCTCTCTTAGGCTTGGATTTCTCTTATTTACAAAGGGGGTAACAGTAGGGGAGTTGGCAGGAATAAATGAGAGGAAGTGCTTAAAGGGCCTCGCAGGACACTTGCAAGGAGCCCTGGTGGCACAGCAATTAAAACTCGATGCAAACCAGTCCATCAGCAGTTTGAACCCACCAGCTGCTCTGAGGGAGAAAGATGTGGCAGCCTGCTTCCGGATAGATGGACCATCTTGTGAACCCTTTGGGGCGGTGGTCCTATAGGGTAGCTGTGAGTTGGATTCCTTGGCAGTGGGTTTAATTTTCTTTCTTTTTTTAAAAAAAAAGTTGTCTTATTGGCAGCTCTTATAGCTCTGATCACAATCCATGCATATATCCACTGTGTCGAACACATCTGTACATACGTTGCCATCATCTTTTTCAAAACATTTTCTACTTGCGCCCTTGGAATTTTTGTTTAATAGTACATGACAAATGGCAGATATGTCATAAGTTTTAGCTCTAAGCATTATTGTCCAAAGGGCAAAAGCTGAAGCCCTAACAGGAACTTGCCCAAGGTCACAGAACTTCAAAGCCTGAGTTGAATTGGAAACCTGGTTTTCTGTTTCCTTATCCAATCCCCTATTGTGCCAGGCCTGGGTTCTTTCTGTCTGTACTGAAATGCGTTCTTTCTGACCCAGGGGCTACCTAAGGCTGAGACACCCAGGGCTCAACAGCCTGAGAGATGTAAAGAGAAGAGAGCCCTCGGAACTCTCATTTGGCCTTCTTTCCTTCTTGTTGTTCCCTCTGTCGGCCAACTTCCCTCTAAAAAGACTCTCCTTCTCCCTCTAGATCTGCTTGGCTGTCGCCCTGCTTTCTCCTTCTCACTAAATATCTGGGTTTCTGATTGTTCCCTTTGTTTTCCAAATGTACTAGTTTGCATTTCCCCCAGTTGCATCCCTGATGCTTTTAATCCAGATTTCTAGACTCTGTAGGGAGAAATCTTTTTCTCTCTCCAGAGTTTTTAAGTAAATAGGCTATTTCCTGCTCATCACTTATGTGCAATAACTATTCCCTTAGATTTACCAAAAGTCAGATCAGGGAGGCTGAGCAACAACAGGGCTGGTAAACAGGTTCTTCAGACTATTTCTCAGTGATGTCCTAGGTCCGTGCAGAGATGGGGCTTTAAAAATGTATAACCACCACTGCTGCCGCCACCACAAAAGTATAGTAGAACCCAGCATTTGCTTGTCCCCATATGGTTAACCCTTCTCCTGAATTATAACAAGCCCATAAGTGAGAGTAGAACTGCTCCACCGGGTTTTATTGGCTGTAAAGTGCATGAAGACAGATCACCAGGCCTTTCTTCTGCAGTGCTGGTGGGTGGGTTCAAACCATTAACCTTTAGGTTCGAAGTCAAGTGAAAACCATTTGTGCTGCTCAGGAACCTCCCCACGTATGCGTATGGTAAAGGCTACTTGAAATAAAGCAAAAGACGTCCGGGAATATCAGTGGCACGTTACCCCCATGAATAATGTGTGCTGTGTAATTTCACAGGTGTGCCTAAGGATGCGGTGCTTTCCTGCAGAAAAGCCCCGCTGACCTACTTTTAGGACATGCCAACAAGAAAAGGTTTCTGGAGGGTAGGTTGGAAAGGGGGAACCGATTACAAGGATCTACATGTGACCTCCTCCCTGGGGGATGGACAACAGAAAAGTGGGTGAAGGGAGACGTCAGACAGGGCAAGATATGACAAAATAATAATTTAATAAATTATCAAGGGTTCATGACGGAGGGGGCAGTGGGGAAGGAGGGGAATAAATGAGGAGCTGATGCCAGGGGCTTAGGTGGAGAGCAAATGTTTGAGAATGATGAGAGCAATGAATGTACAAATGTGCTTTACACAATGGATGTATGTATGGATTGTGGTAAGAGTTGTATGAGCTCCTAATAAAACGATAAAAAGAAAAGAAAAGATCTCTGGCATAGAATGAAAAGTCAGAAGCCTGAAGATCACATAAGCAAATAGGGACTGGGTCGGTGCAAAAGTTTAAGCTTCGAAAAGCAGGAAAACATGTTAGATATGATCAAACAGAGCACACTTTTACAGACGAGACCCAGTGGCACTCCTGATCATGCAAGTAGCCCAGGAACATGCATTTGCAAGGGAATGCGGATGAGGAGGGGCCCAGGCTTTCTTAAGGCAGAATTTAGCAGAGAGGGCTACTGCTTTCTTGCTCTTTACATTGATATTTCTACCTCTTAAGGATTCAAAGGCAAAATTTCCCTTGAAATTCTTTGCTGCCGTGGGGTTCAAACCTGTACCCGTTCTGTGGGACTGGTTTTGTCGCAGCATCCCCATGGCCCCAAGTATTCCTAGCTCCAAGTGGGAGAGATAAGCTCCCTGGGGTTGAGCATTCGTTCAGGATAATTGCTAGAGATTCCTGTCTCAGCCTCTCCCCTCGCACTTGCCCCTCACCTGTGGTAGGGGGGAACCGGGGAACAGACTGGGAGAGATGGGAAGGAGAGGCAGGATTCCTTAGAGGGTTCAGCGCTGTTCCACAGTGAAGCAGCAGGGGAACAGGCCTGGGAGGCTCTGGGGGGGAAGTCTCCCATAGAGCACAAGGAAGAAACATCCGGCCTGTCGCAGCATTAAGGAGGGCTAATGTGCCCCTGGAGGGAAGGATGCCACCAACAGAACCTCTAAATATGGGCACAGTGGGGCCCCGGCAAAGCCATCACTTGGGGAGGATATGTTCTACCCCAAACACAATCTGGTGGTTCAAGTTCTTCATAATCCATGGAACACTGATTTGACCTCGTGTTTTTTTTTTTCCAACAAGTCGAAAAGGCTTGTTTAATCGACTTCATGCCAGTCACTACAGCTACATTCTAATACAGACGTCTGCCGTGGCATCGCGCAAAGAAATGCTCTGTTGAAGTTTGCCCAGTGCTCCTGAACTTTGATCTTGGTCATATTTCAGCCCTGGTAGGAAGTATGCTACACTCACATAGCACGGTACTAACAATACCTTACATGCATTAAGTACTTAATTATGCTAGGTACTTTTCTAAGTGTTTTACTCATTTCCATTTGATACAGGTCAGTGGTGGGGCCAGCAATTGAACCTCAAGTCTGGTTTTTTGAGCCCTTGAGATTACCCCTAGAAAGTACATGGTTGGACACATAAACTGTTCCCTAACTAGATCCTTGAGCTCAGAGCCAGGACTTCTAGACTTTCACGCCCATGTACACCCCTGTAGCTGCCCCCCAGACCAGCGTGCCCCAAATTTGCTGGATCCTAACAATTACCAGGATACTTGCAAAAGATGTCAATACCCAGACCCTAGCCAAAGTCCACTCACAGTCAAGGGAGTCTGAGAAAGTCCAATACAGTAGCGTGAGGACCACCCACCCTGAGCATCAGGAAACTGGTTTTTGTCCTAACCCGGCTTTGCTCCTGAGATTTGGGGCAATGTCAGTTGTTGTAAGGTCTGCTCACCTCATTGGGATGGTATGCAAACACATGAAAAGCATTTCCCTCATCAAGAAATCTACTTAAGCAGATGATAATGTCCCCCAAAATGATGCATGGGTATTTAAGCATATGTTAGGGTCTGTTAATTGGTAAAGCTTGGCCTCCCTTGAAGCCCAAACCTAAGCTTCTCAAGCCTAAGCTCCGCGTCTCTCGCATCTGCCCCAGGTGACTCAGATGCACACCCCAACTCAGGCTGCCTCCTGACCGACATTAGCTCGCTCCCTCTGGGACCTCGAATCCACTCTCAGCTCAGCTCAACAATGCGAAACTTTTTTCTCTTCGCCCTCAGGGGAACCTTCACGTTTATCCAATTCATTCTCCTGCAACCCAACGCTCCCGAAAGAAAAGGGGGGAAAATCCCACCCCTAAGAGACGGTCTTCAGGTCTGAGGACGTTACTTAGCAACGGCACAAAGACCAGCGAGCCAAGAGGGACCTGGGGAGAAAACTCTTGGGTGGGGAGCCAGAGCCCCTTGGAAAACTCCATTTCAACCAGAGAAAAACAACCGGGAAAACACACAAACAGAATCCAGCGCGACAAAAACTGAGTGGGACTTCTCCCCAGCACAGGTCACCCCTCGCCTATCAACTCTTCCAAGACCCCAATGACCAAGCCCCCCCCCCGCCCCCGCCTCCTCTGGTTTCGCCCATGGCCTGGGTGCCCTCCCCTTGCCCTGGCCTGACCCACACCGGCTGGGACTCGCCCCCCACCCACCCACCAGGCACCCACCGTTCTCAGACGCGCTGGGACCTTCGCAGTCCGAGATTAACTGCTGGGGTTTCCTCTGCTTTCGCCGCCGAGACATTCCCAGGCAAAGCGAGGTGGGGGAGGGAGGGGCAAGGCTCACTTCGTCTTAACCGGGGTGACCTGCCCCAGTCTCCCCCTGGTATCTGGAGCCAACTGATGCTTCCCCCCCGAGTGCGAATCCCGGGGAAGCAGAGACGGTCTCCCTTCCCAGAGACAGACTCTCTGACTCCCTGTCCCTGACTCTCTCGCTCTCAATCTCTGCAAGTCTTTAAAGAGGAGACGCCCCCTTTTTTTTCTTCAGCTTCTTCCCGACGCTTCTGCGGCTCCCATTGTAAAAGCAAAAATCCTAATCTTTCCGCACACTCTTTTCTTTTGTACTGCGGAGGGAAGGAGTTAACCCTCTCCTCCCTGCAAGGGCTCCGGGTCGCTCTCTCCCCGCGCTGTCTGCCCAGACACCTTCCCTGACTCGCTTGCCTAACTCTTCTTGCGAGTTCTCCACACTGCATTTTGGTCCCGTCGGGTGATTCTGTGCCACCTCCCCTGGACCCCGTTTGATAACGTGACAGCCTCTGGGGTACAAGCTGGAAGAAGAACTTTTTGGTATAACTTGGTCATGAGGCCGGGAAATCAACCGACCTCCAGCTGAACATGGGGATGGGGAGGATTGACAACAAAAGATGGGGTGAAGCTCATGATAATAACTTAATATGTACATATAGAGCTGTTTATCATGTGTAGGCTATTTAAGGCACTTGACATCTTTCGAGTTTTACGAGTCTGAGATTCGCCCAGAAGATTTTACTTTATCCTAACCAGAGTCTCAGTGAGGTTAGGTAACCATTCAAGGCTGCACAGCTGTGGTGTTGGAGACAGGACGCAATCCAGGTGTGGCTGGTAGTAAGTAGCCTACCATTCTTGACAGCTAAGTCCAATAGGCTATCAGACTAGTAACATGGAGGGGGGGAGTGGGGGTGTGATCTAATTGAAAACAGGAATTTGAGGGGTCTGTGGATATTGGCTCCCACTCCCTCTGCAGCTCCTAGGGTTGAAAGGTGGAAGGAAACCCCCAGAAGGTGAAGTAGTTGAGTTTCACGGTCCTGCAGGATGGAAACCACAACGAGACGTTTTCAGTTCAATATAAAAGAACTGTCTAATACTGTGCTGGACCCTCTAGTGAATGTGTGAGCTCTTTGTAATACGTTCACACAGAGGCTGAAAACCACAGCCCAGGACCCTGTGACAAAAATTTCCTGGAGAATAAGGAATTGGGCCTTTAAGAATTCTTCCGACTATCAATTATAATGTTTGTTAACCAACTAGGTCTTTCCTGCTCAGGCTGTACATGCAAATGCCGTTCATTCATTCTTCTTTAACACCTGGCTTGGCTGTTCTTACCTGAATTTGAGCTATTCTGTGGTTCTGGGTGTAGACTATTCCAGATATGCCTTGCCTTTTAGCTAGGACGCCGAGGTTCCCGTCTATTAACCCTTTCCTCTTCTGAGATGAGAGATTATATGGAACACCTTTAGTTGGGAAAATGGAAGCCATTTTCTCCTGTGAGATATACATTTATTTGATGGCAGACTGTCTTCAGAAGATAAGGAAAGCAAAGTTCACTGCTTGTATTGTGTGCAATCTCAACGTTTTCTTCACGTCTTATAGAAAGCCCCGGCTAGTTTAGCAAGGCTCAGAAAGGGAGGCAACAACAGATGGTAGTTGGATTGTTGGTGATAAATGAGGCAGGTACCCACATCTGAAGAGTTGTAGAAAAACACTCTGATCTTCGCTTTGGAGTTCACTGAATCTTCATTATTTTCCCAGCCTTTGGGGTCAGGACCCTGGGTGCCCCCTCCCCTCGTTCTGCTCTGAGGATTCTTGTTGCTGACCTTGCCCACCCCCCCGCCCCCTTCCTGGTGATTTCTCCATGGTAGACAGGTGCAGTGGTGACTGGGCCATGGAGGGAGAATTGGGGACCTGGAGGCCAGGACAGCCTACAATTCCTCAGTGGGTTAGCCTGAGTCCTGCCATTCTTCCATCCTACTGTTTCCATCATTTTCTTGCCTTTTTGTGCGGAAAGATGGGGGAGGGGACATAGCTCTGCGCTTCTCAGGAGTCTATGAAACCTCACAGGGGCAAATTTGAGGGTCCCTGTTTGCCGCGTTCTTGGGTCTTGGTTGTCTTCATCTTTTCCTATGTCTTTTCTCCCTCCTCCTAGCTGCCTTTATTGTGAAAGGAAGGGCTCTTTCCCCTCCTCTCCTTTCTTCCGCCCTCGCCCGTTTACCATTTTTTCCCTTTTACCTCTCCACTGTGGCCTCTTGACCTCCCCACAGAGTTACAAAAGTAAAATCCTTGAAGAGATGCTGCTGTGAGAATGTTAATGAGCCTGCCCCACAAAGGGGCAAAGACTTTACTTCACTGAGTTGGAAAAAAGCCCCTTTGAAAAGGGGTTTCTGTGTGTGGTGAAGTGGAGAGGGGAGGAGGGGGAGAGGGAGGGAGGGAGAGAGAAAGTCAGAGATAGAATGAGAGAAATGAAAGAGAGGGAGAAACTTCAACTTAATACTAGAAGAGAATATTAAAACAACACTTCTCTTACTTCAGTTGGTGATAAGAACATTTTTTTTTTTTTTGGTGTGAAAGTTATATGTTTTTTTGGACCTTGTGGAGTAAATGCTTATATTCCCAAGAAGCTGAAGAGGCATTCAAGGGCATTGGAGATAATAAAGGAAGAGGAAAAAGGGATTTATCCTGGCACCCCACCCCCAGCTCCTTCCCACATGTGAGAACCTGAGTGGCTTCAGGGGGAATATTCCAGACGTGGAGGGGTGGGGGGCGGGCTTTCTCTGTAGGTTTGGTGGTTTCTTCTTGTGACATATACACTTTTGTCAGCACTTCCTGTTTTAGCGACTCCATTGGTCATTGGCCCCAAATTTCCTTTCATTTTGGAATAGCTTAAAGTACATGTGACATCAGGTTGCCAATCTTTAAGCCAGATCCCTTGAGCAGAATCTCTCTATCTTCCATTTGTGTTCACGGGTTGCCTCTGGATTAGTTAAAAGGGAACGTTGGTGACACAATTTTTCATCCTTAAAGAGCAAAGACTGGCCATTGAACATAATGGTTGAATCTCAATTCATTACAAAATCCTTCTGTAAGATCACACACCACCACTGTGAAAGAAGCCCTGCTCAAGTAGAAAGCACATGTTTTGAGAATGACCATGGCAACAAATGTACCAATGTGTTTGACACAATGGATGGATGGATGGATTGTGATAAGAGTTGTACGAGCCCCCAATAAAATGATTAAAAAATAAAAGGTCCTGACCGAGCAGGGAGGAAAAGAGAGAAGGTGATTGGAAGGTGATCCTTGGAAAGGAAAGGATGAGCAGCCAGTCAGGAGTGCTAATTCCCAGAGCCCTGTATTCTCTCCTGAACTGGTGTTTCCCATACCTATGGGTGGGTTCCTGCTAATCACATGAGGAATCTATTCAGATTTCTTGGGCTTCACTCCAGCTTGACCGGATCAGAATCTCTGGGAGCAAGGACTAGGGCAATAGGGTCTGGGGTTGAGATTTAAAATTATTTTACATCTTAAATCATCCTTTTGCAACTTTGAGAAAATTGTGCTTGACTGGCGGTTTCTAAACCACCAGTCTAGAGTCTTGGGAGACTGCAGTGTCCTTGCACCCACGGACCAAGCCTGTGCGTTGACTTCATGAGTACACATCATGTGCTGCCGGAGAGATAGACTACCCTTTGTCCAATGTTTGTGGATGTTGTTAAGATTAATACACTTTTAGGTCACTTAAAGGTATTTTATATGCGTATGACTTTTGCCCTAAACCTGTGATTATAATCATAGTGGGGGGGGGCTGTACTTTTTTTTTGGCATTTCACTCAGCACCTTTTCTCCTAGGACAGCAGTTCTCAACCTGTGGGTCTCGATCCCTCTGGGGCGGGTCAAACGACCCTTTCACAGGGGTCGCCTGATTCATAACAGTAGCACAATGACAGTGATGAAGTAGCAAC